TATATATATATACATATATATATATATATATATACATATATATATATGTATATATATATATATATGTACCTCACATCCCAACTTTTAGAAGTCCCACATACTTTACAAATTTAAAACATTAAAAATTTAACCTCTTTAAAATATACAAAGTCTCTTTCAAAATTTCTCTAAAATATAGTCTCTCTAAAATTCCCAAAAAACCCTTTAAAAACATCCAGTCTCTCTGAAATATTCAGCCTTTCTAAAACTCTAAAATTTCTGTAAAACTCTAAAATCTAAAAGATATCAAAAGTCTCATAACTATGGGAATAAAATAAAAAAACAAGTTAAAGAACTTTTTATCCCAAGAAGAAAGAACCAGGGCACAGTCATAATATGAACAATACAAAACCAAACTCCAACAGTGTAAATGTAAATCAAACTCCGTGCCCAGTGTCTGGGACTTATTCTTTATCTCCTGGGCCCCCAAGGGCTCAGACAGTTGTGTTTCTCTGGCTTTCCCACTCAGAGCACCTTGGGTTGTGTCCTAGGCTGCAGTCGCCTGCACTCCGCGCCTGCTGCTGTTCTCAGTGGTCACCCCCACAATCCTGGTATGTCCAAAATTCTTAAGTATCCACAACTGGACTGCACCTTCTCCAGTAGCCTGGGATCTCTTCAAGATCTTTGATCCTGTCATATGATACCAAGCCTTAACTTCTCTCCATGACCTCTTCAGATTTGGAGCTTCGATAGCAACTGGGGCTACATTTCCTGGTGCCAAGCTGCTCTTCCTGACCCCCTTCATGCCTTCAAATCCAGGATCACCAGAGGGTTTCTTATATATCCCAAGTTCAGCTACCAGCATAGGTACAGCCCTGGTCTCTCCATCCCACAGCTTCTGGGTGCTGGCCTTGAGAAACGTGTGCCTGAAGATTTGCCTCAGAGATGCTTATCTCTGCCCAATCACAGCTGATTCTTTAGCTCCAGCTGACCAGAACCACACATTTTTGGTTCAGAATATTGACTAGCCCGAGATTCTTTAATGGATTCTTTCAGACATCCCTCTGAAACTTCATGAGCCACCCCTGCTCTCAGCGTTACCCTTCATGTTCCCATGACAGTTTATCAAGCTCTGAACACTCAATGGCTTTTCTAGCCCAGTGTCCCAAAGTCCTTCTACAATCCTCCTGAAAACCTGGTCAGGTCTATCTCAGAAATTGCCTACCCTCTTGTACCAATTTCTGTCTTAGGGTTTCTACTGCAGCAATAAGACACCATGACCAAAAGCAAGTTGGAGAGGAAAGGGTTGATTTCATCTCATGACGACAGGTCATCATCATTGTAGGCAGGCACTGAAGCAGACACCATGAGGGACAGCTGTTTACTGCTTGCTCCTTGTGTCTTGCTCAGCCTACTGTGTTAGCCTACTGTGGACCCCGGGACCACCAGCCCAAGGGTGCCACCCACACTGAGCTAGACTCTACCACATTAGTCAATAAAACGCCCACAGACTTGCCCATGAGCCAATCTGGTGGGGCAACTTTATTCAGTTGAAGTTTCCTCTTCCCAAATAACTCTAGCTTGGGTAAAGTAGACATAAAATGAGCTGGCACCCTCACCAAGGCCCTCTTCATGGTGTATCTGTGTCTCTTCTAGTCTGGTCATTGGATTCATTGAGAAAGCTTCTGTCTTTTTTACTGGAATTCTCTATCAGGCACTGTGTGCTTTACACATTTTCTGCTTGGACTTTCAAGTATCAGTGATTGCTTAAAAACGATTCCCTTCAGCTGGTC